ACTTAATTTACTTAGGTCGTACGACTACCGTACGTACGTTACGGTAGCGTCTCCGTCCCACCACCTAACACTCTCTCTCCTCCTCTCTCTCTCTCTCTCTCTCTCTCTCTCTCTCTCCATCAGCTGGTTCACTGCAGATGGCCATGTTCCTCCCTCCCCCAACTCCCACCCCCACCCCATATGGGAGGGACCTGAACCGACAGATCGTTGGTGTCTGTATATCTTAAATCTTAGCAATATTGCCCACCTTCTCTTTCAGGAAAATTCCCAGAATCTATTTTTTCTTCCATGTTTGTCTCTTTCAGTGACTAGTAGTACCTTAATTTGGAGATTTTTTTGGTAAAACACATAACATGAAATCTACCCTCCTAACAAAATTTTAAGTGCACCGTACAATATTGCTTGCTATATGCACACTTTTGTACAGCAGATCTCTAAAACTTTTTCATCTTATATGATTGAAACTTTAGACCCATTGAACAACAGCTTCCCATTTCCCTACCCCTCACCATCCTCCAGCAACTAACTTCTCCTTGCTTTTATGAGTTTGACTGCTTTTGAAACCTCATATAAGAAGAACCAAACAGTATCTGTCCTTCTGTGCCTGCCTCATTTCACTTATCATAATGTCCTCCTGATTCATCCATGTTGTCCCAAATGGCATGATTTCCTTCTTTTTAAGGCTGAATAAATCTTCCATCGTATGTACATGCCACCTTTTCTTTATCCATTCACTCTGTGGTGACTAGTTAGTTGGTTCCACTGATTGGCTATTGCAAATAATGCTGCAATGAGCACAGGAATGCAAATATCTGTTTTTAGTTCTTTTGGATAAATATTCAGAAGTGGGATTACTGGGTCATATGGAAGTTCTATTTTTAATTTTTTGAGTAATCTCCATACTGTTTTCCATAGCAGCTGTACCATTTTACATTCCCGCCAATAGTGTACAAGGGTTGCAATTTCTCCACATCCTCACCAACACTTGTTATTTGTTGTTGTTGTTGTCTATGTGAAGGAGGAAAAATAATTTTCCCTCTACCCTGCTAGGTGATTGACTGAGACACCCTGGTAATAAAAAGACAGAGTAACTGGAGAAAAACAAACAGAAGTTTAATAACACGTTTACCTGTTTACTTCCTGTATACATGGGAGATACACAGGAAAACGTGACTAACTCCCCAAAATGGTCCAAGCACCACCTTATATATTATCTCCAGCTAACGAGAAAAGATGCTGGGGAATGAGGAGGCTTGTTATGGGTGATGACTAGGAATAGCACAGTAATCGAGGGCAAGGTGTTTCACAGATTTAAGTTGGTGCCTTCTCCATTGATAAGAGCTTCTAGAGATTTAGAGTCATCCTTCTCTTCCTGGTATCACGAGGGCGACACCTTTACATATAGAGATTGCCCTTATAAGTGTACATGTTCCTTACAAAAAGGTAATTTATACTGTTTTCAGGGCATTACCTGTGTCTGCTATTTCTTAAAAACAGCCAGTTTAAAATAATCAATATGCCAGAGGCGTATTTTGCTCCACTTGATTTATAATGGCCACCCTAACAAGTGTGAGATGATACCTCATTGTGGCTTTGATTTGCATTTCCCTGACCACTAGTGATGTTGAGCACCTTTGCATTTACCTGTTGGCCATTTGCATGTCATCTTTGGAGAAATGTCTGTTCGAATTCCCCATATATTGTCTTATTAGCTTCCCCATTTACCTTCCCACAATTTCCTGCCCCTAGAAACTCAAAGTTCTTTTCCTTTGTCTTGTCATTTCTTTACAAATTTATTGTTCTTTTGTTAAGGTGCTACATAAGCCCAAGTTCTAACAACCCCTTTTCTAACCCCTCAGCGAGTTACTTATCGCTGAGTACTTCTGTGTATATGCGTAATGCATGTGTTAATAAACTTCTGATTGTTTTTCTCTTGTACTCTGTCTTCTGACAGTCTGACTTGTAGGGCCTCAGCCAATGAACCTAAGATAGGCAGAGGAAAAAAGACTTTTTTCGTACCCTGTAGTGAAATAGCTTTCCATTTATTTGTGTCTTCTTACATTTCTTTCAAGAATGTTTTATAGTTTTCAGTGTGCAAGTTTTTGCCTTCTTGATTAAGTTTACTCCTAAGTATTTTATTATTTTTGATGCTATTGTAAATGGGATGGTTTTCTTAACATCCTTTTCAGGTTTTCATTGTTAATATATAGAAATGCAGCTGATTTTTTATATGTTGATTTTATATTCTACAACTTGATTGAATCCTTATGTTAGTTCTAACAGTATGTGTGTGCG